TAGTAGTTAGTAGTTAGTAGTTAGTAGTTAGTAGTTAGTAGTTAGTAGTTAGTAGTAGTAGTAGTAGGAGTAGGAGTAGGAGTAGCAGTAGCAGTAGCAGTAGTAGGAGTAGTAGGAGTAGTAGAAGTAGTAGGAGCAGCAGCAGCAGTAGTAGTAGCAGCAGCATGAGTAGTTTCTCTAGACAGTTCGTCAACATAATAGGGCAGCCCAGTCCAACATATATAGTGATTGTGATGCTTAGTAACCTGAACCCAGACAATCCGGGCACAACTGGGGTGTGAGAGGCCTGCGAGGTTTCAGAACCTTCACAGCATCAACCAGCGATGCCTGGGCATCCCAACGTGAAAACCTTGAAGTCTTTTGCTGGGCTTTTCAACCTAACTACTTTCTGACTCTTAGCATCTTAGATTGGAAGTGGAATATGGTCCCCCAAAAAGAACAAATATATAACTTTACTTCGAGTGATCCCCACCATGATATTTCAATTATGTTCAATTTGTTGTTTTCATGCATTGCCATGGTCATGGTCGTAGGCTTTGTGGTTTGGGATGTTGCTTTTTTGGGTCCTCGGGTTGAGATATTTTTTAATGTTAAGGAGTTCGCAGGGTCTCCAGTTGGCATCCAAAAGTGCTACCCTGTCGCCAGGACGTGGTTGTGTATTTGTGGCTAAGTGTTTCTGATTGTGTGTTTGTGGTTGTGTTTGTGGATATATGTGTTTGTCGTTGTGTGTTTGTGGCTGTGTGGTTGTAGTTGTGTTTGTGAATGGGTGTTTGTCACTGCATGTTTGTGGTTGTGTGTTTGTGATTGTGTGCTTGTGGTTGTGGTTGGGGTTGTTTTTTGTTATTGTGTGTTTGGGGTTGTGTTTGTGGTTGTTTGTTTGTGATTTTGCTTGTGGCTTGTTTGTTTTCGGCGGGACACTGCCAGCCGAAGCTCGCGGTTGAGGTCCGGCGGGGAACACTGCCATAATCTGGCACTTGCGGTTGAGGTGAGGAGGAGGTGGACGAGGCGGAGGCGGAGGCCGAATGCAGCGGACGTAAAATGTAACAACCCTCACCTGACAGGTGGGGAGCGACTTTCCGTTTCGAGCGTAGCTCTTTTCGGGAGGCTATCAGAATGTCACTCCACCGACTCCATATGATGCTTCGTCGGAGCTCGTGCCCATCGATGTGTGGGTCCTTCAGGTCCACTCCTCGGGCGAGACGTCGCTCAAACAAACCAGGCGCGAAACATGTGGTTTGGGAAGATGGGGTCAAACAGAAGTGTGAAATGGGGCAGGATGTTCCCACAAAGGTTGAGGTGGTCGACAGACTGAAGGCTACATGTGCTTGAGTTGTCAAAGATGTGTGTGTTTGTGCTGGATGCGTCACCGCTTTTGGGTCTTGACGGCACATTGTCTATAGCAAGGACAAGGCGTCACTCACCAGTTGACCCCAAATCCAGGGGTAGCTGGCTCTTTTGATCTCGTTTGCAACGCACTTAAAGCATGCGATTGCAGGGTTGATCGAGTGGGAATTAGAATCAGGACCCAGGAGACTCTCCAACCAGTGGGGGGCCCTCCAACCAGTGGTTTTTTGATCTTTCTTCTTTATCAGAATTTGCTTTCCTCTCGCTGTGCAATCAGGTTGACCCAACCTGCTGGCACGGTGAAACGTGCACCGTCCGGGGCCGGAGTTCGTGGATGGGATGGGTATGCTTTATCATGCTTGATCGCTTGAACAAATGTGCCAAAGGACAAAATCGGACATGCCCGGTGTCAGACTCAGACCTGAGAGTGTATACACATCAGGTTGCGCTGTCAGGTGCGGTGTGCGAAAACCACCATAGCGAGTGAAACGTGAGGTCCTATGTCTTTCACATGGTTCCAGATCGCCAGTAAGGAAACCCAAAAGTATATTCCCGTCAATGTGTCGGAAAAACAAAATGAGGGCATGAACGTTGCTGGAAACATCCGGTCATCTGGAAATTGGAAACATGAATCTGCAAACCAAAAATATAGTTTCGGAACTACTGGATACCTGCTACAAGTGACAGACATCGAAAAAATATAGGCACTCCATGGGACTGGAAGGAATATTTGCTACATTGGCCATTGACCCCTGGAAAGGTTGTGCTGGAACGTTGGACTTTTGGATTGTGCGTTCTTCCTTTTTTGTTTCTTTCGTCACCATCCATTGTTTCAGGGAACGTGTGTTTTGTTGGGGAGGCAGTTTTCTCGGCAGTCGCGGACTCCATCTCGGCGCTGTCCTCGACGGCCGAGGCCTCCCATTTTGCCCATCGGCAAGCGGAGGTATCCCTAGGCGTGTGGCGTCCGCAGTCGATCCAGGAGACTCAGTTGGACATCTCCGCACAGGACAGGACATCCGACTCAGTTGGACCGTGAAATGGCGACGGTGACCGAAGCCAAAGGCTGCGAAATGAGTCGCTCCAGTCGACAGCTTGAAGACTCCCCGAACTCAGCTCTCCGAGTCTCAGGGAGATCCGGTACTCGTTGGGTCGGCGTCCTTCAGAACGGGATGGAGCTGGCCTCAACTTGGGGGTTGGGATGGGTTGGGGGTGATGTTGAAGGGGACCAACAAAGGCCCATGGAAAAGGGACCCATGGAATGTACTGTCGGGTTTTTGCTGCGGTTCTTTGATCAGTTTTTAGACATTTTTAGACTGTGACTCCCAGTATTACAGACTTTGGGTCGATTTGTCTCAAGAACCTGCGACCCAAACCAGAACCTGCGAGCTGAAGTTACCAACCAGACACAACCTGCGATTTTTTTGTCGCTGATGAACTTCTCAGAACCTGCGACCTGGACCCGTCAGCGGGGAGCCGCTGGACAGGCCGCTGGCCGTGGAGTGAAAAAGACGCTGCAGCGCCTGGTTGCGTTGTTTGGACGTCATGTCGCGCGTCATTGTGGAACCTTTGCTGTTCTACCTGGGCCTTGCTGAAGGAAACCCAAGTTGCGTGAAGTACGTCCATATATAAGTCAGCACAGGTCTGCCAAGTCAGATTGCGACTTGTCACTGGAGTAACTAGTGTTTTCTTGGTTGTTTATGTCCAGAATCCTGTTGATTTAAAGCAGTGGATCCATGGCAGAGCCCAGGACAGTATTCCCGCATAGCTCAGGGGCGTAGAGAAGAATTCATGCACGAAAGGCAAGCCTTAAGAGCCAGCCAAGACCGGCCTGATTCGCTGTGCAGCACTGGCGACTTCCAAGAGACGTTACGAAGAATACACCTGGCCGCCCTTTTAATGTTCGAAGACACTTAAACCGCTGATATTCAACATGATTCAACCTTTGAAAGAGACATGATTTGCGCGAGTTGCTGAGCTTTTGCTCCCTTGACGACTCGAGCGAGTTGCTGCAAATGTTGGAGATGGGAGTCGTTTTGGCATGTAAAAATCAGGCCAAATCCTATGTGTTGAGTTATGCCCGCTCTACTCAGCTTTCACCACAGGGATTTGAAGACCCTATAGTAGTCCTCCAGGGCAGAATCCAAGCTTTTTTCTGGATGTCCTTCGGGTGGTTAGCTAGAAGTCCTGATTTCCGTGCATTCACCATCCAAGTATGGGCAGATGGGTAGAGCGGGCGAGGAATACGCGAAATGAACCTGTGGAGAGTCCGGCAACCTATCCTCACTGTGCCGAATCCCTTTACAGGTCAAAGATCTCATTCTACTGCATTGGGTCATGCAAAAACCCTACCTTTCAACCTCTAGAAACCACCAAAAAGAGGCTTTCTCACGGACGCTTTCGAGAGAATCTAACCTCACGGTCCGAGGGTCCTTAGGGATGGACCCTGACAAACCATGACAAACCATTTCGTTCGATGCTCCACTACTGATCTCGTTCGTGTATAGTTCTGCTTGTTTTGTTCAGTTTGATGTCAATTCCGACCCGGAAGATCAGAAGATCGCACTCCGTTCGACGCTCCGTTGAAAATAACAACCAGTCGAGTCCCTGAAATACTTTAGATCCCAGAGGGTTCATGAGTCTTTGATCCCTTCATTCTTAGGAGGATTCATGAGTGCATTGTTTCTATCATTGCTGCAAAGACAACGCACAGCAAGACTGCAAGGTTTTCGACAATCATGTGCAATGCGCGGACATGCTGGCAAGCATGGTAGGGTTGGCGAGAGGGCAAAGGAGCTGGACATTGTGAGTCACCAAAGGAACATTGAAAGTGTGCTCCCTTCTCCATCGTGCACTTGTCGCAAACACCACCAAAATGTGAGCCGTGGCAACTCTTTACACAATCACCCTTGTAGTCTCCAGGACATTCTGGGATCCCCTACGAGGTCCTGATAGGCCTTGGATTCTCTTCCCCAGATGGCACCAAGACGGTCGACCTCATGGGGAGCACCAACGTTGGAGGCTGCACTAGGCGGTCGCGAGGCACGCGGTGTTCGAAAAAGATGGCATGTAGCTGCGTTCTTTGATGGACCATTGGAGTACGGAATCGTGCCGGAAAGACTCTGGCAGAGGCCAAATACGTTGGACATGGTCGGCACCACAAATCGGTTTGAGGCTCTGAATGAGTCGAACGGTAACAATGGTTCTTCCTGCGAATCCTTGGATTCGGAAGTACTCCGGACCTAGGTTCCCTAGGCTCTAGTAAACAAACATGAGATGATGGCCACGTTAGTTCTATGTTTAGGCACTAGTCTATGATAGTCTATGTTTCGTTCTCGGAAGGAGTGTAGTTCAGGACATCATTTTAGACAGGCTTCGCTTGCTTTCGTTGAGAAGAGGTTCTTTATTTGAGGCAGACAGGATGTTGAACATCCCTTCTGGCAGACACCAGAAACCATGATGGACCGTGACCACAAGAACTATCATGATTCTGATTCATGTGGAATTTGCACAGAATACTCATTCATTTGGGGCGCCCGTGTCATGCGCGCTGTCCATTTGGCTCGTCCGGCTTCGTCGCGGCAGCGTTCTCAACGCCGCGTTCGCGATGGAAGAAGAGTCGCTGGCAGAGGCTGCAGACCGGGGTTGTTTCACATCCGCACAACTTGTCTTGAAAGAATCCGATGGTGACTTTAAACATACTCAGTGATATCATGTGATATCTATAATATTCTAGTCTGTAATATTCCTTTTTACTTATAATATATTGTTTACTTACCTGATCGTACCTGGCTGTTTGGTCGTGACAAAGCGCAAGGCCTTGTAGTATCGTACCTGGCTGTGTGGTCGTAACCCCTCAACCACGGAGTGAGAAGAGACGGCGCAACCCCGGTAACCCTATGAATATCTTTTGATGGGGACCTGGATCCTGCATCTTGTGCCCTTCACTCTTAACACTGATACATATTAACATACTTTGGAATATCTTTGAATTGTATTGATTTATATATTATGACTATATATGCATATCACCAATGGACATCTACAATGGCCATTCCGCTTGCCACTGAAGTCCCATAAGTTGTCTTATCATGCCTCGTCCAAAGACCAGGTAACCTCCTGTATGGTTGTCAATGAATTGGTTAACAAGTGAACATCCGTGAACATCTACAGGAAACCGCGGAACTTTCACTTCCCCAAAAAAAACAACGGGTTTTCACTCCCCATGTTTCCCTTCAACGAACCACATGGGATCCTGCGTCTGTCATTCGCAGGTGGGCATGATTGATCGTCATGGGCTCAGTGGACCCGACCGGTCTCTCACGACCGGTGTCCCCAAAAGCGAAGCCAATGCCACCGGAGCTCCATTACTTTGTTATATATTATATATATTATTGTTATATGTTATATTATTATATAATATATTGTTAATTGTCGTGTGTTTTTCTTTTTTACAGGGAAGAAACATCAACAGCAATGCTAAATTTGCAAGGTTTCACAGGTCTTCCATCTGGTTGTGTGGTTTGGAGAGAGCTACGGATCTGGTAATGATCAATATGTCCCTGCAGCTGTAGTGAGTTCCGAAACCACTTGCCAGAGATTTGACCGCAGTTGGGCAGCAACGTTTGGTGAAGCCCACTGGCATTCTGTCTTTGGTGACGCCGCATAGTCTGGCTGCATGCTTTTGGCAAAATTCCTAACACCACCAAAAACATGAAAAAAACAAAAACATTAACCCATTTTATCTAATTCACTTCCGAAGGTCAAAAAAAAAACGGAGCTAGAACAGCCGAGCCGCGCTTGCCCAGCAAATCCCAAGACGCCGAGAGCAGAGTCCTATTCAACGCCAGGTCTTTAAGAGGTGCGCGTGGCTGGTGTGTGAGTTGCCCCCGAATTTCTCCACCATCCGGCGGCTTCAACCCCCCTATACATCTCTATACTATAGTATCTCTAGAATTCATTATATATAGGCACATTATATACAACAATTGTAAAGAGTATGTGTCACAAGTGGCCCTGAGATGATGTTTGCTGTGAACACCTCACCGCTCATTGGGGAAGACCTGCTTTCACCGCTCATGTCGACCGGTTGAGGTGCTTGGAGCGCCTTCTTCGGCGAAAAGGAACAACCCAGGACTGTGGACCCCCCGCGCTCGGGAACCGCCTGGTCATCGCTTTGAAGCGAGCGAAAACTCCCATGGCTTGCCTCATGAAAGGGACTGGCAAGGGAGTTGGTTGGGATTGCATTCTTTATCATTCTTGTCCACAAGGTCTTGTGGCACTTGCCATGTTCTCTCTCAAGATGCATGCATACATACATGCATCCATGCATACATACATACGTTCATACATTCATACGTACCTACATACCTACATACATACATGCCTACCTACCTGCATGCATGTATGCATGCATGCATGCATCCATACATACATCCATACATACATACATACATACATACATACATACATACATACATACATATTCATGTTATATAATATGCACCATGAAAGGCACACTTAACTTGCTGCATTGCTGCATTTGCGCTGAGAAATACTTTGTTTGCCAATATGAGAGAGCGTGCTTTTTTGGTCGAGCTTTGTCTCAACAATATATACTGTGTATATATATATAGGTGTTTGTTGGGTACAGAATCATGTTATTTCCCTGCAGCACAGTGCACAATTTCTTGAACTTGATGAGACTCCTGATCCACAGATCTCAGTCCACCTATTCCAAACCATCCATGTATGGAATAGTTACTTACATTAGAGTCATAAATAGGGAAACATGTATATAACTACTCCACTCCCATGGATGGTTTGGTATGTATGTTGCGTTGAGAGACATTGTCATTGTCCGTCCTGGATCTCCTCTTGCCCCAGGAGATCCACTTTGTATTGGAAGAACGTGCAGATCCAATCGCGGCTCGAGGAGGAGGTCGTCTCCGCCGTGGACCTGTGGTACAGTGCCTTGGATGGTCGGACCCGCCGGGGCGTCGAAAGTCGGTCAATCCGACGTGCCAAACGAAAGAGACGACGGGGTGGTCAATCCTCAAGCCATGAGTTCCATGGGAAAAGCATGGAAAAGCAGTACCTTGGCACGTGCCTGGTTTCTGAGTGAAGCGCACATACAAGTTCGTTGTGGGAGAGGAGACGTGATTTCTCTAAGTATGAGTTCTCTTTGGATCTAATGCCACTTCGAAAGGTGATGCTGCTGGAGATGAGCTGGACTGAAATCAGAAATCATGAGACTGGCTGGACTTGTTTGTAGCTGGTGCTTTGCTTCATGGGAACAGTCGGCTGCCACTGTGTGATCTATAGCCTTTCATTCTCGTGATTCTTGTGAACAACTGGTTGAAGTGTTTTGCTGGACGTGCGGTTCCATCGCGAATCAACATGAAAGACCCAACACCAAGTCAGGCATTTGCTTGCACATGCTCAATGAGTTGGTGTAGTACTTCTGTCTGGATATGTCTGGTAATCTCAGGGTCAAAGGCACCACTTGGGGCATTTCGTGAGGGGAGTGAGAGAGTGGGTGGCTCCGTGGAATCCCCGTGCGTTGAGCCACCTGACATCGCTTCTGGTGGCCGAAGTGCTCCTCAGCATTCTGCA